AACTACGGAGGCGATCCTTACCATAGTCCACCTCTGTGGATGTCATTGCTTTGTGCTTAAATACATGTATTTGGTTGTTTACATCTAATGATGGCAATGAGTTGACCCTCGTTGATACGAGCTTAGCTCATGGCTTGCACGAGCCAAGCTTGTGATTCGTTTGTCATGGGCTTGGCCCTTGAGCTTGTGATGAGCCTTAAAAAAATAAAATAAAATTATCATCCCTTTTATTCGAGTTTGGGAACAGTGTCATGCGATTTATGCAACGTGATTTTTAAACTGCAAATGGTGTCAAGTTTTGTAATATAGTAAAGAAGTTAGGATGTCGAACCCACATGGATTGATATTCGAATCGATTGAGTACTATAATTATTTTAGCTTTCCCTTTATTTAGACGATCAAATTTTGAGTCAATGTTTTTATGCTAAATTAAAATTAAATAGAATGAACAATGCAAGTAAACGAGGGCAAATTATGAAATTTCTTATCAAATTATGAATGCCTAGAGAATGATTTCACCTTGTATTCGACAATATTTTTCAACCGTATAACTATTTCTATCAATCTTTCCAAAATTTATAGGCAAGAACGCTAAATTGATTCTATTTCCCTCTCTCGAGCGTCAAATAAAATCTATTTTTATATTTCAATTCCAATATCTCTATTCCGAATTAAAAATATAAAAATTATCAAGCACGTGGTTCTTAATTTAAAACATGCCTCAAAGATTCACACTTTCTCTCGAAACCTACGAAATCTAGGTTATGTTGTCTTAGATCACGCCTAAATTTGCCTTTTTTGAGCGCCAAAATTTAGAATATCAAATCAATCAATTAGTGGCAAATTAATTGAAAGCATTGCGCACAAACAACATAAATACATAAACGAAAAGATCACTTGAAATAATTAAGAGGGAATCCAAACATGTCTAAAGTAGGCTACATCATACCCTAGGATTAAAATTTAGTGCATAATTAAAGGAATTGACATAAATAAATTAATAAGAAAGAACATAGAGAAGAAAAGGAATAGAAAAACTCATTTTTGCCACTCGATTTTTTCTTCCATTGTTGCCAAATTCTCTCAATTTAATTCCTTTTCTTTAATTGTATTGACCAGCCATGGGATTGTCTCCAAATTTTTGCAATTGGCCAGCTGGAATCCCCTTGGATTTGTCTCCAGATTGTCCCCTTGAAGATTCTTGTAATTGGCCGGCTAAACTCCTCTTTCCAGTCACGTGTTCTTGCCGGCTGCTTCCAGTTTCCCTTGCTTGTTCTCCTCCTTTTAATTAGGTCTTTTAGGTAGTATTTATAGTCTCCTCAAGTGTTGGACGATTTTGTGTTGGAATGGGTCGAGAAAGGAGTCCAAAAATATCAAAATACGTTTCTCCGCATAGGCGGCGCCCAATATGGGCGATGCGGCGCTGCCTTTACTGTCAAATTCAGATTCATGGGCGCTGCGGCGCCCGATTCGGGTGGAAAATTTCTTTTGCGCGTCCTTCAGTATTTTTAGCATGACTTTCCCGTCCGATGTCCAATTGAGGTGATTCAAAGCTCGTTAGAAAGCTAACTCAAAGGGGTACAAATTTTATTTAGATATTATTCTCTGCTTCAATCATTTGCTATGTCAAAAATGAGTCTCAATGTGAGACTGAAATTTCGGAGCACAACTTTTCGGTTGAAAATTCATTTGTGATCATATTTTGACTAAATTTGATCCCTTTGACATCTTTTTTTTATCCAATTGACTCCTAGCATGCTCGGATCTTCATTGCGAGGTTCAACACAACTTTTTAATATTTGCGCTTTAGTCCCCGAACTTTGGATCTCTTACAATTTGGTAATTTTCTCCGATGTTGCCAACTTTTGCTTATTTCCTTCAATTTCATCAACCTACATCACAACATCAAAACACACAATAAAAAGCTCTAAAACACTATCGAGAGTAGCAAAATAACAAATTAGGTGGCATAAATATTATGAGCGTAGAGCACTCATCAAACGGCTACTTATTTCGAGTAGGCAAAATTAAAATTATATATATCTGAAAAGAAAAACCCATCTCAAGTTTTTCAGACATTGGTAATGAAGCGAGCTGACAAACACATGGGTTTTCTGAATTTTCAATTTCTCAATTTTCAGATGATTGAGTAAAATTTTTAGTTTTGCGAGCATTTTCCTTACAATGTACGTGTTTACCCGCTTCTTTTTTTCCATATAATCAATTTAATTGCATGGAGAATGAAGTAGGTGAACACATACATATTAAGAAAAAGATTCACGGAACAAAAAATATTGACTCAATCATCTGATGTTTTGCAACTGAGATTTGAAATTTTGAAATTAAATTTGAAAACATTTTTTTGAAAACCCTGCTCTTTTTATCCCAGTGTGGGAGTTGGGACTGACTACTTTTGAGTAGGTAGAGTTAAAATTGTACACGAACAACTAGTTACATGTACAATTTTTTTTTAAATCAAAATATTATTAAAAAAATGACAAAGTTTGATTATATCATTTACTTGAGAATATGCAATTTCGACATAATTCTATTATAAAAATGAGCGTTTTATCAAGTTTTAAGTATCGTCGATGAAATGTTCTGCCAAACCTAAACACATGAAGTCATAGTGAGAACCACAGCTATTTAAGTTCGTCAACATGTCAATTGAAAGAGGAATCATTCAACCCATATGATTCAAAGTTTCATTTAGTTATTGATTTTGCTTCCTCAAAAAATCAAGAAACCATTTTTTCTTTGAAGTGTTTGATGAAGCAAAATCAATAACTAAATGTACTTTGAATCATATAGGTTGAATGATTCCTCTTTTCAGTTGGCGGTTAACGCACTTAAATACTTGTGGTTTTGCCTATGTCTTCATGTGATTTGCACAATTCTTCATTGGCGATACTTAGAAAACTTGATGAATGGATTATGATTTGTGCATGTAACTGTAATATAATTGTGGATAGTAGAAGAATTGTATACTGTAAATAAGTAAATTATTGTACAGTGGGTAATGAAGTAATTATAGAAATTAGAATGGTAAAGAGTATGGAAGAGAGATTGTAAAAATTTTTGTGAGAAAAATGATTTGGAATGAGAGATGTTTATAGATGGAAAAAAAGGGTCACAAAACTTTCAAAAACATTTTGAAAAGTGGCCAAACTGTCACTTTTTGGTCACTAACAAGCCTTGCTCGTCGAACTTGGCAAGCCGAGCTCCCCAATCAAGCTGCCCATGAGCTGAGCTTTTTCGAGCTTAGTCGACAAGCTATTCGACTCGATTGCCACCACTATTTACATTGGAAGGTTGACACAATATAACTTCAATAAATTGATAATGTATAGATAATACAAATTTTATTTAGTAAAAGAGTTTTTAATTTTGTAAATAATTAAAAATTATTAATTTATGGAGTACATTAATTTAGGATTAAAATTCTATTTTTACCTTCGTGAAATATAAAATTTAATAATATTTTTTTTGGCACAATTTATCAATAACCTTTCAATCATGTGAAAAAAAATAGTGTCATTCCCTCCATTTGGACCATTGAATGATGAATTTGTCCTATATTTCAATAATAATAAAAAAAGGTTGTAAAATAAAGAGAGAAAAAAAAGGAGGAGAAGTTACAAATAAAATCCTATGACTTTTCAAAAAGTACAAATAAATATTACTCATAACAATTAAATACATATTAAGATGTAAAACAATTAGAAAAACATGTACACTCAACCAAATCAAACTCAACCACCCCCGCATCCATGTACACTCCCAGACAAAACATCACCTGCGAACTAGTTGTTCTTATAATGGTATATTTCAACTTGTCATTAAAAAAAATAATAATAATAATAATAATAAATATGAAAGTGTTTGTTTGGTGCTGATTTTGAAAATTATTTTTTTGACCGTTAATTTGAAAAATGGATCTCACCTGTGAGTGTGAGTGAAATGGTTAAACAAGACAACTGACTATACTAAGGTCGAGTTTGAGAGTGATTTTTCACCTAAAAAAATTAATTTTTTTACTGTTATTTCATTATTCAAACTTTAATTTTTGACCTCTTCTCTCATATGTGCCCCCATTTTTCTCATAACAGTGAAAAATTAATTCTCAAAATTATAGGTTAAAGTAAACGTCAATATATTATTATATTATATTTTAAAAAAAAGGGAAAAATCAATATAAATTTTGTTATATATTTGAATGACTCAGAACTTGGATGACCATTGAAGTGACCGATGTGTTCATCGGTTCATTTCTTCATTGGCGCTTCCTGAATACTGATAATTCGGGGGAACAATAGTAGAGATCTCCTTGCATACAGTATGAGACGAATTTGTCAGCCAAATATAGATTTCTATATTTATAATCATCAAGAGAGAGTGAACTCATTTTCCTTTTCAGGTAAAAGCTACGAATGTTTGTTTGAATACTGCCCCTTAATATTTAGAGGAATTTTGGCACTTATAATTTACACAAAAGAAAGTAATTTTATTGATTTTAGAATGTGGGATTTTTTTTTATTTTTGCCTTTCTCTGATTTTATGTTTTTCCTTTTATTTTCTCCTTTTTTTTTTTTTTGCAAATGAAAATCGATGTTGATGTTCAAATTTTTTTACGGAAAATACCGAAATTTTCATCCAAAATTTTAGCTAATACTGCTATGAAGCATCCATTTGTTTCATTTACTTTGTTATTCATACTTCTTAGAATCTTTCCTAGTCTTTATAAAAGTGATGAGAAGAATAATGATGGCAGTTCAATTGTTGGTAGAAATGAGAAAATGATGATGATTCACAAAACAATGTGGAGGACAAAACTACTATTTCCTCGACCAGCGTCAATCATAGTTGACAAAGAAGAGTGCCCAAAAGAAATTTGGGAGGTGGAGGTTGATTCTTCATCATCTAAAAGTCTAAAACCGGAATTTATTAATGGCTCATATGAAATAGGAACTTCAGAGGACTCAGAAGATGAAAAGGGGGCAGGAGAGGCTGGTAATAAGGCTATGGAATGGACTACAGATGATCAAAAGAATCTCATGGATCTTGGGACTCCGGAGATTGAAAGGAACAAAAGATTGGAGAGTCTAATTGCAAGACAGAAAGCAAGGAAATTGTTCAGCCTTCAGGTTAGGAGGACACTAAGGAACATGGGTAGCAAAATCCCATGGCTCAAATTGCTCATATTTCAATACCAAAAAGCAATCTTCTTTCGAATAAGAGTGGTCAATGTTCACCAGGTCCGGGCTCAGCTTCTTCTGTTTTAATACTTATGCGCAATCCTTTCAATCTTCCTTATAACCCATGTAAGTAAAAACCTGATCTCACAGGGGACAATTTACATCAAGAGTTTATGACAATGTTCTGCAGGCACAAGAGTTTCAGTTTAGGGGCTTCTTTAACAAGGAATTCATGCAAGATTGTGCAGACACCTCAGTTTTTCGTGACATTGGATTGAGGAAGAGAGCTTCCAAAGGAATTGAATGTTCCAAATCAGGAAACCAATTAGGCAAACAATATCTTTATTGTTTCAGATCATTCCATGCTACTACTGCTCCACAATATGATAAATGTTATAATTTGTGATTGTAATGAAAACTATGAATGATAATTCATTGTTCCTTTCAAAATAACTAAAGAATAAAAATAATTTTTAAAATGGACAAACACAAACAGATGAAAAATGCAAAATAACTAAATAAAACCTTTTGATTACAGATAGTGAATTCATCATGATAGTAGAGCCAGAACTAAGACAAAGGTTGAAAGTGCAGGTGATCAGATCAAAGAAGTCATCCGGGTGTGTGAACTGGGATTTGAACATCACAATGAAGAAGACAATTTGAATTGCAGACAACTAATTCCTATTGATGATGTCCATGGTAGGCCAAGCTCTTCAGAAGAAGAAGAAGAAGAGGATGAACCATTCTATAAGATAGACGAAGATGCACTATTGAAATCTATTGCTTCTCCAGCTACAAGGATTGTTGCTGAAGATGGGGAGAATAATGGCCAAACAGGTGACCATTCAAATGATGATGCTAATCATTTTGTGAATACTTGATCGGGGGAGCACCATTCTTATGCTAACTAGACTCTGCACCATCACACTTGTTCCCTTTCCACTTCGTCTGACTTGCAAGTGGAGTTTCCAGAAGTTCGTTCTCCTCTAATTCTCGAATAAAACTTATCATCTCAGGATGAAGAAAGTTCAACATGTGATGTGTACTTGGATATAGAGATTACCTTGAGTAGTGAAGACTTGTGGGCAGCAGCATCTCACCCATCTGGAATAGATGAAAATGAATCGAGATCGAGAGAAGTACATGAGATCGGCGTGAAAGATATCATCAAAGTTGGATTTTCAAAAATTAACGAGTCCGGGGATAAGACTTCATCAAGAACACAGGAAGGGAAAGTCCCTGAACAAAATTCTATTGGTGCGCATTCATTTTCGTCTCCTAAGACCGACTTTCCTAGCAGCTGTCAGGCCAGCATGAAGAATTGTGGAAAATTACAGAGCTGTTCAGTTTCTGCACTGGTATTATCACATGAAAATTTTTAGTTTCTGGCACGTGAGAGAGCATGAAATCAACATGAAACAAAGTGAATAAACCTTTACACACACATCTAGATCAAATCAAGGCAATGGATAATGAAGTCGTATTTTATTCTAGGATGGGTTTTTCTCATTTTGTTCTTTTAAACTGTGAGTAGTGAGTTATTTGTGTATTCTGCAATTTTTTTTGAGGGGCCAGAGGTTAAAAATCATTTGTGCATTTAAGTTTTCTTCTCTTTTGATGATGAATAGGAACATTCTGATCCCTGTGAGAAGTTGAAGAATGAGTTGAACGCCATTTGCTATTTAAATGGTTCAGAAATGCTGCAGGATGATAGAGGGAACCTGATAGAACAGTCTTTGACAATTAATTCAGAATCTTCTGAACATAATGGAAGTCGTTCTGAGAAACAGGATAAGACTCATCACATGTTAGACTTAACGGGTTCGGAATCTGATAACAGAATATCTTCTAAGGATTCTGACAGTAGATTGAAAAAGGTGCTTGAAAATGAAGAAATGGTGACTATTTTTAACACCTTTTGACGATCATAACAGTCTCAAATTACTTCATCGAAGCAAAGATGAACGATGTTCTTCCGAAGTTGGAACTTCTAGGACTTCTCAGGAGTCTGATGATCCCCAAGCATCTGTATCACTGATGAATGTGGCTGTTGAACAAATTCCGGCTGCCCCAAGTCCATGCTCATCCCTTCAATCTGTACTACAAAATTTTTCCGTGGAGAACTTATCAGAATTTCAGCAAAATATCCAAATGGAGGTTAGGCAGTTTGACAGGAAGTAGAAAACAACATCCCAGATGAACTTAGAACTGGAGTTTCCAGAGATTGTCCTTAAGTTCATTACCTTTGGAGGATTTAACGATGCATCCACATAGTGGTGCACATATTGAACAGGTTTGCCAAAACTCCTAGGGATAACATAAAACTGTGTGCACATATCAAGATTTGAGAAGATTGCTTCTTATTGTTTCAGAATTATATAAAAATATTTGACAGCATTCCTTTATTTGTGACTATCTTGTATTTCTATATAAGAATTGACATGCCTATTTCTCATTTACACTGTACAAATATGTTAATGTCTAACATGCCAAAAATACACTACTATTTGCACGAACTGTACATAGTATTTATTGTCTTCCTTCTATTTTTTGACTCTCCTGATATGAGCAGGAATCTTCCCATCATCAAGAGAATTCAACCGAAGTAGTTGACACACATAGTGATGTTGATGAACCAACTAATTATGAGGATCAGATGGAAAACTCGGCACTTTGTGAAGACACTGGACATGAGGGCCAGTTGATTTATCCAATGGATTGTGAAGAATGTACAACTTCAGAAAGTTGTGAAGACAAAGGCGAGCTTTAGAAATTTGCAGAGGACAGAACTCCTACTACTTCGTCAATATTGGTGGAAGAGAATGACAACTCGGGGACCCATAAGACTGAAGAGGATGGAGAAGCTATACACCATGCAAATGAACACGGTTCAACGCTAGGCAGTGAAGTCAAATTAGAAATTAGTACTAACAATATTGGAGAAAGCCATGATGAATCTATTATATTAGGTGTTCCAAAAGAGAAGAACAATTCGAAGAATTCTATCAGTTGCATTACTATAGAGGTAAGCTATTCTTGAGCAGCAATCTTTTATTCGGTAAGGACAGAGGGGGGAAAAGTTGTATTTTTATTACTTGACAAAATGTAGGACTCACATTGTCAACATTTGGAGATATTGTGCAGGAACCAACAAATTCTTCAGCAAGAAGCGTTGAGGAATCCACAAGCGTTTGCATTGCAAACAAAATGGTAACTAACAAGATAAATGAACGGGACCCAGAGAGTATGTCTGTTGGAGTTGAAGAAGATCAGAAAGATAAAAGTAAGATCAGATTCTGTTAGAGATTGCCACCAAGTGTGGCTTAGATGGAAAGCCTGTTACAGCCAAGTTTAGCTTAGATGACCCAGAATACAGTACTGATTAGTATTAAGGAGTTAGTTTCACAGGTTTGCTGCTAGAAATCAAAGTTTCTTTTGTATTTAATTAGTAGCCAAATTCAAACTTTGACTAGTAAGTGGTTGTCATAGCGATTAAGTTTAAAAAAGTCGATAAAATTGAATGATCATTCATCAACTCTATTATCTAGTCTCAAGAAGCTAACTGCAAGCGTCGTGGTTTTATGTGCTTCCCATCAGTTTCATGGATTCTCCGTATGCTTATTAAAATCCATTTTGTTTTCTCCAAAGTTTCAATACCATTAATCGAATTGATTTCTTTAATCCTATAATTAATTCCCTATTGACTTATAGGGATACTGTGCTTTTTCTATTTCGTCTGGTGATATTCATAAATTCAGTAGCAGAAACCCACAAGGGATTATTCACTTATCTCCATGGGCCATAATGGCCATCAAGTCTCTGTCAAAGAGTTGAAATCTTGGAGCCTGCGCAAGCTCGGAGTTGAAGATAGAAAGCCGGCGAATTCTTTAGTACGTCATCATGCTTCTCGCTATCATATGTCTTTCTTGCTACTTTCTGATATCTTCATGAATATAATTAGATGCACTGTTTGCATAGTCTCAATACGTATGCATAAACACAAGTCTTCGTTTGATTCTTCAGAATGATTTTTGGGATAAAAATCAGAATATTGTCCACAGAAAACCAATTGGACAACCGAAAGTGTGAGATCCTAGTTCTGTGTATGTGGTTAAGATGATGATAAAAATAAGAATAAAGTGGCCTAGGGTGCTTTCGGGTTTAACATGCACATATGATGTTCCTTTTTCTATAAAGAAATTGCCTAATCTTGTCATTTCCAAGTGAAAAGCTACCTATGTTCATATAAATTTTGTTATTTGTACACTGATATTTGACATTGTAATTGACACTTGTATTGTTGTCAAGTGTCAATTGAAAAGAAAAACTATTTGAGATTTAAATTGTCCAATGGGATAATGTCATGTGACAAAGTGTAAATTAAAGTGTATACTATAGTGTACATGTAGCAATATTCATATTCATATTGCCTCCCTGAATTCTTTGCTCGAAGTGCAAAATAGAATATACCATGCTTATAAATATTCGGTACTTAGTAGTAGATAATATATTCAATTTATCGTAACAATGTATCAATGAGCATAGGTTTCTAATATTGAATTTCCTTTTTATGAACTTGAGAAGTAAATGAAAATTGAATGGAAACACAAAATCTACCACAAAAGATCGAAAAGAAAAGAGAGAAAAAATTTGTAAAGAGTACGACGAATGAAATTTTATTAATGGAATGTACATTAGACTTCGACTCAAAAGCTTGCAAAGTCTAGACTTCGTGATTCATTTTTTATAATTCGGGTTTTCTTCTATTCATTACTAGATCAACATGAAGAAAGAGAACACTGGAACGATAATGGTAGGAATTTGAATGGTCGCCACAAATTCCAATCCGAACACCACACGACAACAAGGTGTCATATGGACGCAAGCCACTCTCAAGCTTATTGCATGCTAGCAACAGTAACAGGCAAGAATGAACTAATCATGAGAGAAAAAACATGTACCAAAGACAATTCCAGCCATAACAATTATACGAGTATTTCATTAACACGTTCAATTTCAATGTGGCATTCGCAACTTCAACCGACTGGTAACACCTTGTTTCGAGCTCGAATGCAGGGTGATTTGGCATTGCATTCACAGTGTTTCCAGTCCGTGCTCGACAAACAAACTATTCACAAAAGATCGAAAAGCACAAGCAATCTATGCTAGTAAATTCAAACTAGGAATTTCAAACTAACAAAGTGTAGTCAAGGGGGCTAATGCAATATTATGCATGAGGAAAATAATGCCCTGGTTGAATCTGAAACATCGTGTTTTGAGATCCCAATAATGATTCATGCATACCACCTCTTTGCAAATGTTGAGCCTGCATTTTATGGCCATAAGAATTCAAGCCGTTGGAAGGAGAAAACATATTTCCTAGGCCTCCTCCTCCTGCTTGAAATCCATGCATGACTGCAACATTGGGTGATTGATTCCAGTGGAAAGGAAGTTTCTGCATTGCTGCAGAATTTAACTGCTGTGGAAGAATGGTAAACTGCTCAGGCGAAGGTGGATTTTTGTTCTCCGATGACAGGTTTTGATTCTCATTGAGATTAACCGTTGTTATATCGTGAATGCTTGCTCTTCTCTTATCTTTTCCTCCGGAGAGTTGCCTAATGAAGTACTTCTGAGCATGGCTAGCAACTTGTGTTGGTGTTCTAGTAATCACGAAATTGCGCGAGATATTTCTCCAATCCCCTTTTCCGTACTTTTTAAGCCCCATCAGAAACAACCTATGTAACAAATCATCCCAAATTAATGCCAAACACAATCGGAATTTCAAATAAGTTAACATCAATCATTAGAATAAGTCAATTATATCCAACTTCTAGTTGATTATCATGTAAAATGCTCTGTGTAGACTAATCTACACTACCAATATTTAAGTAGTATTCCAGCAATATCCGTTCAATTTAGATGCAAGAAAATGGAGTTCATTAGAGTATCAGAGATAGAAAACACACTTGTGCTCCTCTTCTGTCCATGGAACACCCTTCTTCCTTTCTTGTTCATTAGGCCTAGTTGAAGAGGATCTCTTCCCCCCGGAAACATAAGCATAGTCGAATCCATCAAATCCACGGCCACTCCCCCATTCGAGTGTAAAAGGCGACGTCGTGCTATATCCAGGAATTGGAATTAGCCCTGCCTCTATACTACTAACATCATCTTCCAACACCTTGTATTGCCTAAAAACATCCCATACAGTCTTCCCTGGAACCATTTCCGCGACTTTTTGCCATCTATCGGGCGTATCCTTATCGTGTAGTGCAAGAGCATTCTCAAAGGCCTTGTTTTCAGCAGGAGTCCATTTTGTGCTTCTGCTCTCCTC